AATGTCCACCGGAAAGTCAAATATTTAAATAAGTAATAATAAGTAAGAATAATCTATAATATATCCTAGACAGATAAACCGTCTCCGCTCTGAATCGTTTTTTGTATTTCATATACAATGATATAATATCATTGGATTCAAATTTAACTCCATCCATTACGGTAAYCCACTTGTAACCTACTGCATGTACAGCAGAGTGATATCCACWTTCCCGCTTTTTTAAAGTTAAAAGGTGAACTTACTTTTTCCATGTCCTTCAGTGTGGCGGGTGACACGTCCGAGTGTCGTCGAAGCTCGGGTGACCTTGGTGGCGCCARTCCCGATCCCAGAGATCCGTTACCAGATCCGGCATTCCCGGAATTCCGCCCAATTTTCACGTCCGAATGCCGCCGCTGTAGCGTGTCTGCTATGGGTACGTCCAACAAGCTGTCGGTAGAGTTTTGCGTCATCACCGGTTGCAATATCGACGTACTTTGTTGTTTACGTCGGCAAATACTGCAGCACCAAGTGTTCTACATAATATATAACAGAAAAACAATTAGTCAACCAATGGCCAAACAACAAAGTACATAGTGTCTTGGTGAGGCGCGGTCGTACGCTCAATCTTCGGAAACGCACTGAGCGTACATACCGGCCGCRGTTGCTAGCTCCGGGATGGGTGACCACCMGGGATTTTTAGCAACATATCCTTGCCACRCATACACRAACACGTGTTACAACCCTACCCACTTAAAAACCTACAAACATACAAAAATAACCCCTACCGTACCACCCCACACCCAATGGCCTATGTTGCCGCGGGTTCTTCTTACAAAAAAAAAAAAACAAAGTGCATATTACAATTATTTACGTCAGAAACACGATTTACACGCTACCTATCATAAGATTATTTCTAAAACGAATTTCACAATTAGGCAGTTTTGGGTAGTATATTCTAAATAATGTATATCGCCGAATACTTTTAAAATACTTTTCACAAAATGTATTCTAAACAATTGAAGGAAATATTTTTTGAAAGGATTTTATCAGTATAAAAAATGATCCTTTATTTATCCTAGGTTTTTTTTTCTGGAAATGTTAACAATATTATAAGTATATTAAATTATAAATGCTGGTGCTAATTTCAAATTTTCTCAGAGAAAAGTATCATTGGTCTAGTATTTAGTATTTTTTTAGTATTTTTGGAATACTTAATTTGAAATGCTTTTCTTTTTTTCGTGACATCGACGACGTTGCCAAAACTGCTTGCGCATTACGTCGACAGTTTCGCCATCGTTTATTACATAAAATAAAATATATACCTATACAAATATAAGATACGTTAGGTAATGCGACTATTACATTATTCGAAATACTATGTTTATGAGATATTCGAATTAATATTCTGAATGATTTATTTCATATACTTTTTAAAAGCAATTTACCAAAGTCTGTTATTGGGATAAGCAAATAGGAAAACTTGTGATATACATCCTATTGATCGAAAAAAAGAAATGTTGCATATTTAATTTCAATATATATGCCTTTTAGTATTTAATTTTTTTATCATTACCTTCTAATGGTCATATTATCGTTATAGAAATACCATGCAAATGTATGTGTAAATAAATTGATATGTTGGACCTTGTAAATGTTGAAAATTATTTGACATGGAATATTATATCATTCAGCTGCATAAATTGTGAGACATTGGTATCTACAGTGGTTCAATCATTATAGTACTATTACTTGTTAGGTATCGAAGAGCAGTGTGATGTTGTTTTGAAATTATAGACGGAAAACCGACGAGATGAGAAATAAACTGTGGAAAATATCATTAAATCATCAGCTGTGCATTATACTACGCGGACGGAGAAAGCGTGGAATTCTTAAGTATTATTGTATAATTTGTCAAAATAATACTAGGTAGCTGCTGGCTCTATACTCATAATTTGTTTTGGATCCCAAACGACAAGACCATTGTCGCTGTCAGATTCCATGACGAATATTTGTCAAGAAAATATCCAGATAGATATGATATCCATCTCGATAAGCGCCATCACAATCGGTGATGATATGATGATGACGACATGACGTTTTCAAAGGCTGTGCGTGAATGATAGTTATATTACAGTCAAGGGGACAATAAATGTTCGTATAAGTGTCGATTTATAAATKTATTATTTCAAATTGTAATAACTACTACTATTATTATAGATGCTAAAATATTATGTTTGTGTCTCGTTATCCTATATTTTGTATTTGATATTTCGATTAATTATTTTTATCATGAATACAAATAATAAATGGTATCATTATCAGTGCAGTCAGTGGGTTTTAGGTGTTTAACCTCCCCCCCCCCCCTCACTCAACCAATTGACATTTTCCTCTAATGTTTTTCTACCAAAATTGTAATAAGCTTAGTATAATTTATACCTACTAATCCCCCTTCTATAATCCAGGCTATGCTATCGCACTACCATTATTTTATCCGAAATATTTTTCAGAAAAAACTAAAAACTATGAAGCGTATGATAAATTTTGATTTTGTCATAACATATCTCTACAGTATAATGACACAAAATAAATAATCGTTATTTTGCTATACGATAATAAAGTTATGCAAAATGCGCATGCCAATTTAATTTCAACATTATATGCTTGCAATTAGTATTCATTTGAGTGTTTATCGGTACTCAGTATTATACTATCTGGGACCTCCGTTGGAAAACGAYCGCAAACTGTGAAAATATAACTTATTGTCACTATTATGTTATTGTACTATAGTATAATAGCCCATAAATGGTTGCCACTTCACATCGATAATTTCGTTCTAAAATAATTTAGGCACGCGGGATGGTGTTTATGCAGGACACGTCGACTTCGCGTCCACGATGGAGATCGATGAGTTATTTTCAAAAAAGTCTACACCATTGGGACCATTTACGGTGTGTAGAAATGGTGGTGAAACCACTAAATAGTTATACATTTTACGTATTATACATGTAAATGTATGTAAACATAAAACGAAAACTTAGAACCCCCACTATTAAGGGCTGCCCGCGTGCCTGTCCACTGTTTGGGAGGCAGTGAACTTCTAATTTTTAAACCTAAAAACCCCCGGTACCACGCATTGACGTTTAAGTATAGGTAGCTTAATAGGAGTCGTTCTGAAGTGAATTGATGCAAAAGAGTTGGTGGTGGTCCTTCCAGGATTTCTCGGCTTTTTYAAAAGCGTAGAAAATCGGTAGCGTACGTGAGATTTTTTATTTTATCGACAAAATAGTATTAAGAGTATTATTTAACAACAATACAGCATAGACATTAAATGTAACATAATGCGCTATAGTTTGTCATTTCAAGGAACATGATATTATAATTATGTTTGACATGTTATTTTTTGACAGAAATGAATCACCGTGATAATGTGTGGGATTAAAAGGGTGAAATAATTACGCCTTTTATATTTTACCCTTATAGCATCTTTTACGCAGCAACACAATAATGGAAAAAAAAAATACAGAGTTTTATTTTAATATCTTTACGTTAATGGAACTGAAATCATTTGTATACAAAYAATATTTTAAAGGGAATTTCTAAACCGTTCTTTATTGTTCGAAAAACCAAACTATATATTTTATGAATAAATATCGACATCTCGATGGTAAATTTAATGTTACCTATGTACAACATTATTCAGACTAAGGGTAGTTCATTTTAAACTTTATGGTAATATCGAGTTAACCTATAGATTATGTTAAAATGTTCAAGTATCCTTGGATGATAAAATATTTTATATAAAATAAAAKAAATACATAGAATTGAAATGCTTAACTTAATGGTGTTATACCTACTTTAWAATATCTGTCCGTGGACAGTTATGTTGAATAATTTACTTACCATAAATATTAAATACGCTTTAGTAAAAATCAAATTATTTAATAAACTAAAACTTAATAATATATTAATTATTAAAATTGCAACTTATGCTAAAATATTGTGACGCCTAGAATCGCATATTATGTAATTCCAATAGATTAACACTCCCATAGTATTTAATTTTGTTTTACATACATAAGATTTTTATTATTTTTTTAACACTGACTATCAGATGTATTTTATAGTATTTAATTTTATTGAACACACGTATCTGTTGGACAAAAAAAAAAAGAAAATAAATTGTTTTCTTTATACCTTATTAACTGTAAGTGTTATAATACACAGAGTTTAAATAAGTTTGATAATTAAAAAACTACTCGTTCACGTTTTTATTTTAATGCATCAACATTAAAAAAGATAAAAAATAAATAATATTTGGTACTTTTCAAGAGTAGTAATGTTTTCATTTGGAAACAAATAAGTTTATACCTGTATTACTCTTTAAGTAGGTACTATAAAATATCTACGAATTTGAAAATATAAGTTATAATTTTTAAGTAGGTATACCAAAAAACTATAAAATTAAAAATATTTTTTAATATAGGACAAAAGGGGGTGAACATGCTTGGCGAATCACCTTGTATAATGTATGTGGGTGGACTTGTATTTTTTTGTTTTCTTGTGATTAACCCTGTTAACGCGATTTTGCTCACCGATAACACTATAGGTAATATACTATTGTTAAAAAATTCTTATATTTATATAATAATAGATAATRATAAAAGTATTGTCGCATAAAAGTTGAAATCTTTTTTTATGCGACGTTTTTGAACTATTTGATTTGAAATAAACACTTTATAAGCTAGTTTTTTCTACTCTAATAATACACAAAAAAATCATTGCTTGATATTGTTGATATTTTTATCATGGTGATTTATAATTTTTTACTATAAAATACCATGTAGTATTATAACACGTGTGAATTCTCAAGATAAAATTATCAGTTTTTCAAAATATTTTTAAATATGAATCTACATTTTATTATAAAAGTTAAATTGGAGTAGACAATTTCAGCAATAACACCTGCTGTTAAAGTTTGTTCATGCTCACGACGATTCTGGCGCTTACCTAGTTTTGTTGACTTATAGTATATGATAACGATTTCTTATTAAAATAAAATATGCATAATTATTATTTGACTTTATGTGGATTCGCTTATTTATATAAGAACATTAAACACATTACACATCAACCAAACATTACATATTCTCAGTATCTACTTACACACTAGTTATACTGTTGAATTYTAACAATCATGTATTATTTTGAAGTTCAAACCAGAATCATACAAATAAAGGGCCATAGTAAATGAATAATAAAGTAAAATTATTGGAATTATTAAATAATTTATCATGGRATTCTATGTTTTGTTCATTGTCATACCATAATATATTTTTATTTTTTGCTGATATTTAATCTTATTCGTATTTACTCATCAGGAATAATATTATAATTTTCATTAAAATGATATAATAAATACATAATTGACATTTAATATATACTATAATATAATGTATGATGCATTGTATATTTAAAAATGAAACATTTATGATTAAAAACTTGTATAAAATATTAAATAGCATAGTATGGGTTT